AAGTTGTCGACGCGTTCGACTACTTCACTCCCTATCCTTAGTTCAGGTGTTGACGCAGACCAATCCTGAAGCAACAACTTGCCATTAGAGGGGAAGAAGCGCATTCAAAACATTCTGGCATTGTTGCTTAGTGCTACCAAAAGACTGGATTTTATCAACGTCTTTGCCAAACAGGACTGTGTCGTCTGTGTATTTCAAGTCGATAAGTGGACCTCCTGGAGGGAGATCATTGCCCGAAAATTCAGTCGATGAGAATGTTATTTCCATCAGTAGGTCTATGATGAAGCTAAACAAAAATGGAGAAAGTGGACAGCCTTGACAGACACCACTTGATGTTGCAAAAACAGGTGACAGTTCGCCATAAGCTCTGACTCGACTAGTAGTGTTCGAGTAAAGAGCCTTCACAAGGTTTATGTACCTCTGAGGTACACCTTTCAATGACAGATACTACCACAGAAGCTTTTGGTCTACAGTCATATGCTGCTGCTTTTCAGTCAACAAAAACTGTCATTGTCGGACGCCGATAAACATGCTTGTGTTCTGAAACCTGATGAATGGTGATTATGTGGTCGATGCAGTCACGACCAGGTCTGAAACCAACTTGATTCTCTCGTGTTTGCAGTTCATGAGTTTTTTGGGCGTCCGATAATTATTGAGGCTAGTATTTTAGATGCCATATTAGTTAAACTAATCTCTCTATAGTTGTCATAGGATGATTTTGACCCTTTCTTTTATATTGGGACGATCAGTGATTGTGACCAGTCAGATGGGATTACGTCCAACTACCAGATTTTAGTTAAAATACTAGTCAAGTTAATCGTTTAAACTGGACCACCATAGTTAAAGTCTGTTAGGTCCCGAATAACATAACTAATGGAACTTTGGGATCCCTTTATGGATCAATACTAAACGTATATTTTTATCGTATAATTGTTACATAACAAAACAATTCATATTCCTCTTATTATAAACTTTATTTTGACTTATGAACCATTATTATACGTTTTAGCATTCTTGAATTATGCCCTATCTATTATTCACTGCCTCCCACATTCACAGCCACGTTTGGCCAAATTTTGTACAAATGTTATTTTCTATTTTATGGTACGTTGTGTTCTGTTTGATTGGTATATAAACCAAGTATGTTTGAAATATATGATTTCATATTGCAGAAACTGGACTTAACTGGCTGGGCTAGGCGAAAAGCAGGGCCAATCAGGACTCTAGGCTGCTCGCACGTGTTCTACGCGTCCTCGGTCCGATAGATAATTCGCTGCTTCTGTTTGGCGGCTTTAGGCTATAACAATTGACGACGGGGATGGGATTCGAACCCACGCGGGGAAACCCCAATGGATTATCGGCTTTGGACTATAACAAAGACATCTGAACCAGCTGCTCTTTCTCGTCCTACTTTATGGCAGTGAAACATGGTCGGTAAGAGCAGAGGATATTTGTAGGTTACTAGTATTCGATCATAAGTATCTTTGAAACATTGCTGGTATATCCTGGGACCATCGAGTAAGTAATATAGTTGTTAGGAAACGGGTACTAGGCAAGGATGGCAAATCGATTGATGAAGTGGTGAAGCTTCATCAGTTGAGATGGCTGGGACACGTGTTACGTATGCTCGACCACCCTGACCGTTGTTGCCACCTTGACGTGGTGGTCGGGCTTGCTTATTGTGATGAAACAACCGAGATATGCTGGTTGTAACAACCGTTCCTCAAGGTCCTACCATGTCAGAGAGGTCGGTTGAAGAGCGGTAAGTCTAAAAGTAGCAAACCCAAGGTCCGAAGGCGAAGTCGTACTGTTGACTGTGCAGAGGTGTGACAGCAGTAAGGTTGTTTCCTTCAGACAACCAGCATGACAGCGTTTCTCTCTTCCTACAAGGAGGGGTGGGGTTAAAAGAGGTCGACCCTAAAAATGCACACCTCGCCTTATCCCACGGATATTCGTCTCGGTGTTAAGGTCTCAACAGGTCCGAGCTAACACGGAAATTACTCATAAAAAGGTCGTGTGTGACCGACCTCAAGCAGTTGTTCCTTGGGCACTGCGGTCACTAAGACCACCTTTAATCCAATTTCCTTTTTAGGTACCTACATAAGAACCCTCCCATGGTGTGGGCAACCGGGAAGTGATAACCGCCCTCATACCTCTAACAGCACTCAAGACCACTGTATTCATAATCAATCGCCCTCTTCAATTCCTATTATTCCTCCTACATCGACTTTCAACACTAAAATTCCTCTTTCGGCTTCCTCCTCAAGTGTCACTATAGCCAACGCTCCCACTGACTGCAGCTCGGATGAAGTGAAAGATGAATTTCACAAAAACGTTCAGACATAGTACTCGTAGCAGGTGACTTTAATTCTCAGATAGGTAGCTTAAACCAAACAGAAAGGCATTTAGGTGGGTATTTTAATATTCCGAGACAGCGAACAGATAATGGTGATCGTCTGCTGCAGCTATGCTCAGACAATCGTTTATTTTTAGCAAACACTAATTTTAAGCATAAGGAGAGATCATCTAACATGGCGACCGCCTGCACCAAACCAACGAGGGACTCAAGTAGACAATAATGCCAACAGTCATCGTTGGAGAGGGTCGATAGAAGATTTTCGCTCATTCTGGAATACTCGCTAGGACTCCGACCATGCCCTAATACGGGCACGCATTTGCTTGCGCCTCACTGGACGCAAAAACTCAATACTGAAAAGACCCATCGGAACTGAATTGAGTAACGAGAAAACCAAAAGTAGATCCCATGAACAACTGAGGTCACACTTAGGTAGTTCTGAAAACGATGCATGGCCCACATGTTGCTTGGAAATATATCCAAACAGCTGTGGAAATAGTAGTGATATCTACTAGTGATTTAAACCACAGGGTTACAACTATAGTGAGATTAGTTTAACTAATATGGCATCTAAAATACTAGCCTCAATAATTATCGGACGCCCAAAAAACTCATGAACTGCAAACACGAGAGAATCAAGTTGGTTTCAGACCTGGTCGTGACTGCATCGACCACATAATCACCATTCATCAGGTTTCAGAACACAAGCATGTTTATCGGCGTCCGACAATGACAGTTTTTGTTGACTGAAAAGCAGCAGCATATGACTGTAGACCAAAAGCTTCTGTGGTAGTATCTGTCATTGAAAGGTGTACCTCAGAGGTACATAAACCTTGTGAAGGCTCTTTACTCGAACACTACTAGTCGAGTCAGAGCTTATGGCGAACTGTCACCTGTTTTTGCAACATCAAGTGGTGTCTGTCAAGGCTGTCCACTTTCTCCATTTTTGTTTAGCTTCATCATAGACCTACTGATGGAAATAACATTCTCATCGACTGAATTTTCGGGCAATGATCTCCCTCCAGGAGGTCCACTTATCGACTTGAAATACACAGACGACACAGTCCTGTTTGGCAAAGACGTTGATAAAATCCAGTCTTTTGGTAGCACTAAGCAACAATGCCAGAATGTTTTGAATGCGCTTCTTCCCCTCTAATGGCAAGTTGTTGCTTCAGGATTGGTCTGCGTCAACACCTGAACTAAGGATAGGGAGTGAAGTAGTCGAACGCGTCGACAACTTCACTTATCTTGGAAGTCTGATCAGCCCTAATGGGTTGGTGTCTGACGAAATCTCAGCACGGATTCGAAAAGCTCGCTTGGCTTTTGCCAACGTACGTCACCTATGACGAAGGCGAGATATCCGTCTATCAATAAAAAAACGAGTATACTGCGCGGCAGTTCGTTCTGTTCTACTTCACGGCTGTGAAACGTGGCCATCAAGGGTAGAGGATACGCGTAAGTTACTAGTATTTGATCACAGAGGTCTCAGAAATATTGCTCGTATCTGCTGGGATCAGTGGGTAAGTAATAATGAGGTTAGACGTAGAGTATTAGGGAATGGTGGTAAATCAGTTTATGAGGTTGTGAATCTTCATCGACTGATATAGTTGGGACACGTGTTACGTATGCCTGAACACCGAATACCACGACGCGCCATGCTGACCGGTGTTGGGGATGGTTGGAAGAAAGTTAGGGGAGGCCAAACCAAAACGTGGTACCAGTTCTTGAAGTCACTAACTTCTAGTCTGAGCCATGTCGGTAGATGCAGACTACTTGATTATGGTCCGCGTGACTATCGTAACCAATGGTTGGAGACTCTTGGTGACATGGCTCAGAATCGATCACAATGGCGTAGGTGCATACACTCTTTGTCTTCACTTAAACACTGAAATTAAAATTACTTTATACCTTTCTTTCTACGAACTACTCCTTTCTTCCTGTGCCATATCTTTTATAACGTTCGATTTTCCACGTCACACGAATGGGACGTTAATTTACCTTAGACGAATATGTGAATTAGATTCTCTCCCAGTGTCTATTTTACAGGACTGTAACACAACTCAGATCAAGAACACGTGATTAGCCTGGCTAGAACGTAAATATATTTCAGCACCCAAATCCGACAATTATGATAATGGTAATTGAATACATAACCCATCTAGTACCTGTCAGACTATCTACAAGTCTAACTACGGAGACAACCAGACACTGTCATTCTTGCCCAAACATTATCACCCTCGCGAAGTTTGGTCGTATGTCTTCATCTTTGTGTCCACTTGAAAAAATCTCGTTTGTTTGGTTGTCTTTATGACTTACTGCTAGGTTTTGGTTTCAGCCCATTTTTTTTCATTTCAACTTGTTGTGGTGGTAGTGGAATATTAAATGTATCACATAATATTTCCATTGACAAAGGTTTGGGTTTCGATGAATTGCTAACATTTCTATCTCTCAGTTGGTTTATATGTCTAATAATTAGTGGACTTTCAACCATCAATTCATACAATACCTTCCAACGTCATAAGAGCAATTTCTGACAGAATTATTAACAAATAATACTCATCAATTTCATAACTTAAGATTTCATCGCTTATCCAACGAAAGCATCTACCCAAAACAAAACGCAAAAATTAGATGTATCACATACCACACCGTTATCAATTGTTTCAACAGTTAGTGTTTGTGATGTGATTGTAAGGTATATGTTTGCCATTGCCCATGTCATATCAGTGGATGGGCCAATGAACTGTTTTATTGACTTGTCAGCTGGTTGGTTACTTGGTAGTTTTAGACCAACATCTTCACATACACGACGTATTGATGCACTGCAAGGAGAAATATGGGAGAATTTAAGAGTATGTAAACAATTCTTATTGCCTTCTAACTTGAGAGGCTAAAATACACGCATTATGACCTTAAAATCTAGGTTTATAGTAAATAACTCTGCATAAATTAAACGTTACAGCGATAACAACTAGCTAAACACTCATGCCGACTGAAGTTTATGAATCAATTCTCACTATGAAATTCGATTAGTCAACATAAGGATGTAGTATTTGATAATAAATATTTCGAGAAATCAACAAGAAGCTTGAAAGCAAAATAAAAAACAGAAAAATATTATGATGCTTTATATAAACTTTACCTCACTTCAAAACAAGCGATTACAAGTAATCAGTTGGGATATTCATTTACATTACTCACCACTACATGTAAATCTTGCGTGACTACTGTGGCAAATAATTATAGAAGTTGCGTAAGAGCGTTCAGAATTGGTCGCAACAATACAGATACATTTACTATATCTTCCATTAGATTCTAACTCTTGAAATTATTTTACACCTTATATTCTGTCAGCCTATTCTTTCTGTTCGAATCACATATTCTGTCTATGCTCCTTTTTTACTTCTGTTGATATTACTTCTATTACTTTGGTATTTATCATGACTTCATTTTACTGAGTTGATGCATACATGTATCCCAGGTTCCCTGTTACTTACTGACGTATTTGAGTGTAGCATTTAAAAGCAGTTTATTCTCAGTATGTATATGAGAATAACTTACTGTGGTCTGTGTATGATCACAAGTATCAGTTTGTGATGAAATACTAACATCGAATTTTCTATTTAAAGCTAGATATTGTCATTCACGACTTCCAAACCGATAAACACTGATGTGAGTTCAGACAACCTTCATTTAGCCAGAAACGTACTCAGTCCTTCCGTGTTCGTCTAGACTAACAAGCAGAGACTTGTTAAGCTTGGGATCCTGAAAACCTTACGTAAACATTTTGAGTTTAGAAAAATTCTGTCACTCAATAACAATATCGGTAAATACACATACAATTAGTGATACCAGATTATTCAAACTTAATTAGGTAGGATACGTTACAGATCCAAAATATACTGGTTGAATTAGTAGCCTGAATCTATGCATAATGATAACCAGATATTTCTTTAGAAGCTAAATATAAGTAGATAATCTTGAAAACACAAACTTCCAGATGGTCACAATACTCGATGTACCGGACCGTGTAGACAGTAAGATTTCTCATGAATTAATGGAATCTTTAGAAACCCTATCTTATTAAACATAGAAGCGGTAAAATTGAGGAAACAAAAGAGAAACACTATAGCACTAGAAGTATTTTAAAATATAAATGGCATTAAACTGTCATTTGTTGGTTAGATTTCCCAGACAGTGAAAATATGAACGTCAATCTAGCTTTCTTCAGGTCGCTCAAATGGAACGTTTACTCCATATCAGCAGGTGTGAAGTGATAATGGCGAGACTCTAATTTAGGGACGAGCCAATCAGAAGCGTTTGAGCAATTTCAAGGTCACGGAGCCAAGTTCAACACGCGCTGCTAACATACAATCGGTTCACAGCGGATTTTAGAGAGTAGGTGATTAATGAGAGGTTACAACAGATGGGACGACGAAACTATAATTTAGGGACGAGCCAATGAGAAGCGTTTGAGCAATTTCAATTATTAGCCAATCAGAAGACAGTATAAAGTAAAAATATATTACAAGAAAGTAATGAATTACAGTGGATATTCTTTTACATGATTTAAAAACTTGTTAAGGTTTGATAAAGTTTCAGAAGTTCTGAATTCATAATGCATATTGTATAGAAACTCGTCCATAGGGTTAGTGGTTAGGGTTGTAGCCTGTAAGTAGGGTTAGATTAGGGTTAAGGTTAGGGTTAGATTAGGATTTAGGGTTAGGTTAAGGTTAGGGTTAGATTAGGGTTTAGGGCTAAGGTTAGGGTTTTTGGGTTAGATTAGGGTTTGGGGTTAGGGTTTTTTGAGGCCCGTTGATCTGACTCCATTTAGAGTGTACGAATGTTTGCTATCGCTGATTCTCGTTTATCATCGTCGACTTAAATCGCGTTAGCCAATAACGGAATTAAATAAGTCGAATAACGAGAATTGACTTGAGAATACATATATTTCGTACATGAAGCGAATGAAGCACAGCAAAGCAAAATGACACGTATGGAAGATGGCTGGGAAGCCAACTCCCTTTTAGTCAAGTGTTATTCCATATTTATAGGCAGACAAAATAAGCTACAGACATACAATGAATCATGTGACATGAAATGTACACTCATATACGCTCATATAAAAAAAACAGTCAAGACTGACAAGCGAATAATTGACAAGGTCAAAATATGGCTCAAGTAAAATGAATAAAATAGGATGTCCGGAAGTTAGAATAAGGTACATGGGCTTGCCATAATAACTGACACTACATAGCCCCCTCGTAGAAAATAGCACATTTTAAAAAAAATGGCTGTTTTCGAAAATAACAGTGAAGTGGTGCGTAGTTACGCACGTGGAAGAATAGATAAAATGAACGTAATGGTTACTAATCAGCTAGTTAGAGGCATCCACATACATAATAGGAGGCGACTTCGAAATGAAAAATGTATGTTGTGATAACATAAATTGCCGACCTCGACTAAGTGAATGAATGTAATATTAGATCAAAATGACATGAAAAATTGGAACGAACTCACTTAAAGGAGGAAAATTTCACGTTTTTGAATAGTAAAAATATCCCAATGAGTTCTCACAAAGTTAAGTGGAATTTTCATAAAATGATAATTTGTTCGGTGAGTAATATGATTGCGAAAATGTCATGATTTAATGACAGCACGAACAAGATTAATAATTCCACATTCGGTCATGATATTGATAATAATGTAATAATAAGCATATAATGATAATTTGAATCGTAATGGAGCAATCCGACAAATGTATCAATGAAGATAATTGACATGAGGACAAAGTAACAATAAGATAATACGACTTGAGCATGTCCATGCCATGATGCACAGGCTTTGCTGATTGCGTCGGATTAGAGATTGAGCTGGACCCATTGAGTGCGTTCGTCGAATGTATCAAGTGCAGAAATCTCTTCATCGACGTAGCTTGCTGCGTTGCGTTCGACGTCGGCGGGCTTACCACTTTTGGAGGCCCATTGATCTGACTCCATTTAGAGTGTACGAATGTTTGCTATCGCTGATTCTCGTTTATCATCGTCGACTTAAATCGCGTTAGCCAATAACGGAATTAAATAAGTCGAATAACGAGAATTGACTTGAGAATACATATATTTCGTACATGAAGCGAATGAAGCACAGCAAAGCAAAATGACACGTATGGAAGATGGCTGGGAAGCCAACTCCCTTTTAGTCAAGTGTTATTCCATATTTATAGGCAGACAAAATAAGCTACAGACATACAATGAATCATGTGACATGAAATGTACACTCATATACGCTCATATAAAAAAAACAGTCAAGACTGACAAGCGAATAATTGACAAGGTCAAAATATGGCTCAAGTAAAATGAATAAAATAGGATGTCCGGAAGTTAGAATAAGGTACATGGGCTTGCCATAATAACTGACACTACATAGCCCCCTCGTAGAAAATAGCACATTTTAAAAAAAATGGCTGTTTTCGAAAATAACAGTGAAGTGGTGCGTAGTTACGCACGTGGAAGAATAGATAAAATGAACGTAATGGTTACTAATCAGCTAGTTAGAGGCATCCACATACATAATAGGAGGCGACTTCGAAATGAAAAATGTATGTTGTGATAACATAAATTGCCGACCTCGACTAAGTGAATGAATGTAATATTAGATCAAAATGACATGAAAAATTGGAACGAACTCACTTAAAGCAGGAAAATTTCACGTTTTTGAATAGTAAAAATATCCCAATGAGTTCTCACAAAGTGGAGTGAAATTTTCATAAAATGATAATTTGTTCGGTGAGTAATATGATTGCGAAAATGTCATGATTTAATGACAGCACGAACAAGATTAATAATTCCACATTCGGTCATGATATTGATAATAATGTAATAATAAGCATATAATGATAATTTGAATCGTAATGGAGCAATCCGACAAATGTATCAATGAAGATAATTGACATGAGGACAAAGTAACAATAAGATAATACGACTTGAGCATGTCCATGCCATGATGCACAGGCTTTGCTGATTGCGTCGGATTAGAGATTGAGCTGGACCCATTGAGTGCGTTCGTCGAATGTATCAAGTGCAGAAATCTCTTCATCGACGTAGCTTGCTGCGTTGCGTTCGACGTCGGCGGGCTTACCACTTTTGGAGGCCCATTGATCTGACTCCATTTAGAGTGTACGAATGTTTGCTATCGCTGATTCTCGTTTATCATCGTCGACTTAAATCGCGTTAGCCAATAACGGAATTAAATAAGTCGAATAACGAGAATTGACTTGAGAATACATATATTTCGTATATGAAGCGAATGAAGCACAGCAAAGCAAAATGACACGTATGGAAGATGGCTGGGAAGCCAACTCCCTTTTAGTCAAGTGTTATTCCATATTTATAGGCAGACAAAATAAGCTACAGACATACAATGAATCATGTGACATGAAATGTACACTCATATACGCTCATATAAAAAAAACAGTCAAGACTGACAAGCGAATAATTGACAAGGTCAAAATATGGCTCAAGTAAAATGAATAAAATAGGATGTCCGGAAGTTAGAATAAGGTACATGGGCTTGCCATAATAACTGACACTACAGGTTAGATTAGGGTTAAGGTTAGGTTGAGGTTAGGGTTAGGTTAGGGTTTAGGGTTAGGTTAGGGTTAGGGTTAGGTTAGGATTAGGGTGCTAACATGCGATCGGTTTACATCGGATTTTAGAGAAGATGTGTCTACTTACAGGCTACAACCCTAACCACTAACCCTATGGACGAGTTTCTATATAATATGCATTATGAATTCAGAGCCTCTGAACCTTTATCAAACCTTAACAAGTTTTTAAATCATGTAAAAGAAGAATATCCACTGTAATTCATTACTTACAATATATTCTCACTTTATACCAACTGTCTTCTGATTGGCTAATAATTGTCAAGGTCACTTAAGATTCGTTCAAAGGTCGTCCTTAAATTAGAGTCTCGCCGTGATAATCGCTAGCAGTACTGAATACAAAACAAAACAACTGAGTATCAGTAGTTATGACTAAGAAGAGAATGAAAGTATAAATGGAGAAATAGTAAATTAAACTGGAGATATGTGCAGTTACTTATGTTAGGACACTATACATATTTAATTTTAACAGCAGTGAATCTATCCTCACTTTTACCATTTTCAAACCTTTTACGTTTCGAAACAGAATGTATTGCCACTTTTATTGACATACAAATCTACATTTTGAAAACATCCGAATATGCTCCAGGAACATGCTTCATGCAACAAAGCATAGTAATGCGCTCCATATTTGTAGTTATTTAGACCGGAATAGACACTATATGTTGCAGTTCTTTATCTTGATGATTACTTTTCCATATAGATTAAACTAGATTAGATTTGATCGTAAAACGATAATTATGGCTTTAAAAAACAGGTGAGTATTCCTACTGAATTATCCTTACAGATTACAAATGAATAATATGCTCCCAAACAAGTCGAGACTTAACTTCACGGATGAAGTGTATGTAAATATGGTTGGGGCTACCATCGCAAACGAGTTACATAATTAATACATTAGATCATAAAAATCAGCAACAAAGATAAATAAAATTTAAAGTCAGTCAAGCTGTTTCAAAGTTAAACCTTACCGACAAATTCGAGTTCTGGTATTTATATTCACAGATTTTATGGATGTCAGCACTGGAATGGCACCAACATATTGAAGTTCAAATGTTACCCCAGCATCGGCAGCCAGTTGTGAATCATGATGAAGCCATTGCTGTGACCTTGTTGGCTCAATTGACATGCTAAAACCCTATTAAGTCACAAAAACACAGCATCACAAGTTAAAAGACCGCCGAATAAAAGTAATCATTTAGACCTCAGAAAAGTTGTTCTTGATCAATATCAAAATTGTATGATTAGACAGAATAAGTGATCTGAAAAGCTTCTTACCGAGGCTTTGGTGGTGAATATTGATTGCAAATATACCGGTAAACAAATATGAACTACCAAAAGAATAAATGCTTATGGACTTGGTGATGAATTTTGCTGCTAGAAATCCTGTCACAAACAAGTACGAACAATGTTTTATTTTCTGTGAACCAACGGTAATGGAACAACTGGACTGGGAAAATCAAAAAAGGGAAGTGATTTAGTACTTGTTGTGATTATCTTTGCTTTTCTGTACTTATTGCTTCAAAAAGTATCCATAGTCTTAGTTCGAAGTATTTCAGTTAAGGTATGATTTTTTGATAAACTTTGTCCTGTGGTACCTTCTTTTTCATTGACTCTGACACTTGTGTTCATATAGAGTCTAAAACTCTAATCTAGTCACAATGGTTGGCAGCAATTGTAAGCGTGGACAGACAAATTTTTTATTCCCCGTCGCGTAAAGAATGCAATAAAATGAGTGTAAAAAGTGGTTCCACAAGATGTGTACCCGTTTAAGTCCAACCGCATACAAAAGAATCTTTTTCGAACACTGCTTAAAGCCTAACTAGTTTTGGCTTCGTATGTTTTACTGCACAAATAAGACGTTACTGATTCAGGAGGCCATGAGCCTATTAGCTTTATCCTGTAAGAAGAAAGACGACAGTGTTGAATCCCGATCGTATAGGCACCGTAAGGTAATCCTAGGGTCAGAGTAGCGATTTTATCTTCTTTTAAGTAGCGCTCGTTGTCACGACAGTGCCGGCATTCGAGTAAAACCTGATATACCTCATGAAGATAGAATAAAAAGGAAGACAATACCAGCTGAATTAGAAAGCTGTCCACAGGAGAATTTCCGATTAGTAGGTTTTCGAATAGTCAGGTCTTAAAAAGGAATGCTATGAAGGTCTGCATGGATAGGCCATTCTCTCTAGGAGTTTAAAATGCCACTGCTCGTCATCTAAGAAATAAAGTCTAAGAACTAGAAGTGTTTGTGGACAAATTAACGTCACACATTGTAGCCCGTAACAGAAACTTGCTTAGTCCGGACTTCGACATTACTTCAGAATTATCCGGATACCACTACCTAATTAGTGATAGACATAGATGTAGAAGGGGTGGGTGGAATCATTCTATGCATAGTCGATAATATAAATATCCGCTCGTTTGCTTGGGAATCTCGTGATAGTGTAACTGGTAAAGTCAATAGCTGTGAGCTCACTATCAGATGTTTTACATTTATACTCTGTGTCATATATCGTAGCCCAATCTGCTTAGCTGATAACTTTATTTAAGAGCACATTCAACTATGGAGTGCAAATAACAGATACTTGATATTAGGAGATTTTGGTGCACGCGTTATTAGTTGGATTGGGGTGGTAATGGTAGGATCCATAAACTGCTTTGTCAGCAGGTTTACGGTAATTAAGCATGCATTAGTATATCATGTATCCAGACCCACTCGTTTTGGTGCTAACCAGTGTTCTTTTTGTTAGACATGGTATTTTTTCGTGTGACTGCGAGTATTGCCAACCTAAATATTCGCCCACCATTAGTGAATAGTGATCACTCCGATTTGTTACTCACGTTTAAAGCTAGTAACATAATAAACGATCAGGTTAAACCCCGCCCAAGTATATGGAGAGCTAACATCAGCCATTCAGGGGTGCGCTGTTAAAACAGATTGGTTTGTAGATACTAGCTCATCAGTTGAAGAAGCATGGTCTATATTTAAAAGCTAGCATAAAGAAGTCGGAGATTTCGACTGTTAGTAAGAAACCTTTATACACGAATGTGCGATTCAACGGGGATATGGCTAGTGACACTCTGAAATATAGGTTAACCAAAGTAATCACCAGGACATTCTACGCAGCCAATCTTGCGTTGACCTTCTCTTGTCGACCAGCGATGTCTACTCAAACGAAGGATAAGTTACCTGAGTTGGCCTCTTCCATGTGCATTTACAAATTCAGCTGCTCCTGTGGAGATAGCTATATAGGGCGTACTACCAGGCAACTTAACCAACGAATGAGTGAACATCTACCAACTTGGTACATAAAGGGCCAGAGAAAATCTATTCGCAGTTCTATATTGGCATATCTTATTGATAGCGGTCATGCAGTAGATAAATCGAAATCATTTCGAGTTATCTATCATATACCTCCATTATTTCCCGACGGAGTCCGTTCCCGCCTCCTACATATAGCTGAAGACATTGGAATTCGTACATATAACCCCAATTTATGTGTACAGACGAAATACGTGACCCCCCTATCCCTTCCATGGCCGGTTATAACTTAACTAACATTTTTTTATTTTAAATTTTATTATTATCATTATTTATTTTATTCTATTTGTGTTATCGTCAATCTTATTTCCACATCCATTATTTGTTTGTCATTATCCGCCTCTTTGTATTCTTCACTATCGAATTATTTACACACATCTTATTACGTAATGATTTTAATGTTTTGTGATTACTATTCCTAGTCTATTTACCCATGTTTGTTTGACCTTCTATTTCCGACGATTAACTATTGATAAGAGTTTTGTTATTGTATTTTATTATTCTCACTATTATCAGTTCACCTGTCTTCCTACTATCAACTTGTACTTTTACCTATTATGTGTAGAGACTTATTCTATTTCATTGTGATTATTGACCCATATTGCCTTGATTGGTTTAAAATTTTCGTATAAGTATTCATGTATATTAGAGTAAAGCCTGATGACGATCTAATTGAAAACAATTGTTCGCTTATATGTGTTGTTCTAATTTTCACAATGGGAATCTTTAATATTCTAATAACACGTTGACCGAATTATAGTACAGCATAGATAACCAAACAAGTTGATAAACTTCTCAGAAGTATGAAAAAGTATGGGAATATGTTTATCTCTACTACAGGTCCAGTTGTTTTAAGACTAGGAACGCCTGTAAATCGTTAGTAAGTAAGACCAGACAATTGAGTGAAGAACAAGTGGTTATAGATTGTAAAAATAGTCTGAAATGGTTATTCCCACATATAAAAAGGCGAACTCTGAGAACTGATAGAATTCCATCACTTTTGGTACAAGAAAATCCGTTAATATCGACAAGAGACGATGTCGTGAAAGCTGATGCTTTATCGCAATATTTCAGTAATGTGTTTTCTATCACTAATTAGTAACGACCAACGATTAAATGTGATTATGGCGGCTTGTTGATGGATCGAGAAAGGTACTGTCTTAAGACTACTTCGGCACCTCAAACCTGGTAAGTTCAGTCAATCTGATGACATTCATCTTAGGATTATGAAAGCCCTATCGGATTTAATTGCTGAACCTATAGTTGTACCGTTTGATATGTCTCTTCGACAGTCCAGGCTCCCAAGATATTGGAAAGATGCAATAATCAGTCGGGTGTATAAGACGGGAGTAGAGATTTAATTAGTAACTGTTGACCCGCCAGTCAAACCAGTGCAGTTGTGAAACTAGTGGAAAAAATTATTCGGACGGCTGTTATAAACTATGTGGAGGGACATGATCTTCTATCCAGGGAACAACATGATTTTCGGAAGGACTTATCACGTTTGACAAATTTGCTCATTGCAATAGAAGATTGGGCTGCTGCAAAAGATCGAAATATTCTTGCAGACGCAATTTTCTTAGATCTAAGTAAAGCCTTTGATAAGGCCTGCCATTCGAGTCTTAACTTAAGACTGGAAATATTTGGGATCCATTATAAGGTCATAGACTGGATAAGCAACGTTCTCCATAATAGGGGATAAGGGGTAAATGTAAATGGGGCCCGCTTATCACGGGAATCTGTTAAACGTCGAGTATTCCGAGGTACAGTCCTCAGCCGTTCTACTCTTCGTCGATGAAATGAAGATTTGGAGACCCATACACAGTGTCAGACGGAATAGTGTCTCAACTCATTGGTGGCGGAGATGGGCGGATGGTCCTAACAAGAGTGTGGTGATGCGACTAAATAACTATGATGATCCATATCACTACGCAATACGTGGATTCGTTTTACCAAAAGTAAGAAACCATAAAGATTTAGGAGACATAAAAAGCAGCGATCTAAAAACTACTAGTAGCTGTACGGCTGCTACTGAAAGAGAATTTGTAGTATTATGGGCTATTCGTAGGTCCAGGACCGACCATTTGAGATAACATTAGAAGCAATTTCAAACACCGAGATCAAATCGTCTACGTCTGAAGTTTCATTTCTCGCACCGAGTATTGAAATACTGAAATTCTCGACCAGAACACGTAATATCAGCACCTTCTGTTGATATATTAAAAACGAGATTGGACCTCCACCGTGTTACAAACTGCAAGCAATAATACAGGTCGATAGACCTCTCTTCCTTATTAGTGAAGATAAGTTGACGACCCGAAAACTGACAGACATACTGTACCAACCACCGGATATCAGGTAGCTGTTGATTCTTCGGTCTTAAAGATTTGTAGAGTCAGCGGAATGTTACTGGGCCCTATCCAAACCAGCCGGCGGTTGGGTCACTGAAAACTGAGCAGTTCACCGATTCTCGTCAAGTTCAAGGATAACCAACGAGTATCAGATAAACGAACGCCCATACGGCGGTGGTCGCAATCTCACATTATTATTATTATTATTATTATTATTATTCACAAACATCTTATGGGTACATAAGTGTTGTGAAGAAACCATTTCGGGTTTCTTCAAAAAATGCAATAATACACAATTTTCAATAATGTCAGCATTATACTTGCCATTAAAAAAAATTTAAAGCAATAATAGTAGAATATTAATAATAATAAATCGGGTCTGTACAATTGAGAATATTGAATTGAGTTTAAAGAAGGAAATGGAGAAAATAAGGGAATAGAAATAAAGGAGACGTG